AAGATTGTTTCAGAATGATTGGTGATGACAAAACTAAAAAGAGCAAATGTATTTCCAAGCTTTTACTATGAAATGGTAAATGATGGGATGATTATATTTGAGCTTTTGCAAGTGATATATTTATTAATTTATTATATTTTCTGAGTGTTCAAATCCATTAAATATGTTAAGGAAAATATTTGTGGGCAAAAGTGAAGCTGTATATTTCTTCCCCAGTTCTCAAAATCAAGAACATTTGTGTAGGAAGCACTTAAGAGTAAAGTAAGTGGGACTTTGTGCTTTAGATGTTTAGGTAAGACATTAAATATAAACGATTGATGAGTGATAGTGATTATTTCATTTATTTTATAAGCCTAATTGTGTTCATTTTTAAAATATTTGTTTATGTTATTTATTTGAAAGGTAGGGAGACAGAGAGAGAGATTTCATTCCTGGTCCATTCCCCAAATGCCTGCAATAGCTGGGACAGGGCCAGGCAGAAACCAAGCGCCAGGAGCCCATCTGGCTCTTCCATATGGATGGCAGGGACCCAAATACCTGGGCCATCACCTGCTGCCTGCCTGGGTGCACATTAGCAGGAAGCTGAAATCAGAGCACTCTGGGTGGCCTTCAGCACTGAGCCAAACATCCACCCCTAGAGGTAGTTTTAATTGGCTAAATTTTTGTGTGTTGCCTCTTTCTGCCTATTTTTTTTATAACAATGTAAAAAGGTTTTCAGATTTGTTTTAAAAGAAGTTATCACAATGAGAACAAGTTTATATATATAAATGGGGGGGGTGGAGGAAGTCCTGAGTTGTGTATTGAGTTAAGCCTCTGCCTGTGGCACTGGCATCCCATATAGGCACTGGTTCAAGTCCTAGCTACTCCACTTCCAATTTAGCTCCTTGCTAATGTACCAGGGAAAGCAGCGGGACCCTGCACCCATGTGAGAGACCTAGAAGAAGCTCCTGGCTCCTGGGTTCCGGCTGGCCCAGCCCTGACTGTTGCCAATATCTGGGGGTGAACCAGCGGATGGAAGATCTCTCTCTCCCTCTCCCTCTGTTACTCTGTCTTTCAAAGAAATAAATCTTTTTTTAAAAAAAAGATTTATTTATTTTTTTGAAAGAGTTACAGAGAGAGAGCTCTTCCATCCACTGGTTCACTCCCCAGTTGGCCGCAATGGGGAGTGAACTACGCCGATCCGAAGCCAGGAGCCAGGAGCTTCTTCCGGGTCTCCCACATGGAAGTAGGGCACCCATATGGGATGCCAGCACTGTAGGCGGCGGCTTTACCTGTTAGGCCACAGCACCGGCCCCAGAAATAAATCTTTTTTTTTTTTTTTTTTATGACAGGCAGAGTGGACAGTGAGAGAGAGAGACAGAGAGAAAGGTCTTCCTTTGCCGTTGGTTCACCCTCCAATGGCCGCCGCGGCCGGCACGCTGCGGCCGGTGCACCGCACTGATCCGATGGCAGGAGCCAGGAGCCAGGTGCTTTTCCTGGTCTCCCATGGGGTGCAGGGCCCAAGCACCTGGGCCATCCTCCACTGCACTCCCTGGCCACAGCAGAGGGCTGGCCTGGAAGAGGTGCAACCAGGACAGAATCCGGCGCCCTGACCGGGACTAGAACCCGGTGTGCCGGCGCCGCTAGGCGGAGGATTAGCCTAGTGAGCCGTGGCGCCGGCCCAGAAATAAATCTTTTTAAAAAGAGAATAAAGAAAAATTTTCACTGTTCTTTAGAGTGGAATCATAGAGAAAGTTTGTTTCATCATGTGCATGTTTTCTATATCCAGTGATTTTTCTTTAATTAGTAATAGTTTATACATGAAAGGCTAATTTACTAACAAAGACAGTACTATACAATTTTTTAAAATTTATTTTATTTGAAAGAGTTATGGTGGCGGGGGGAGGTCTTCCATCCACTGCTTCACTCCCTGAATGGCCGAAGCCAGGAGCTTCTTCTGGGTCTCCAGCATGGGTGCAGAGGCCCAAGAACTTGGACCGTTTCTTCTGCTTTCCCAGGAGTATTAGCAGAGAGTTGGATCAGAAATGGAGCAGCTGGGGCACAAACTAATGCCCAAATGGGGTGCCGGCACTGTAGACAGCTTAACCTGCTGTGCCACAACGCTGGCCCCACAAATTTTATTCTTAAAACTCCGTAATTTTTGCTTTCCTTTTTTTGCATAAACACAATACAGAGTTTCTCAAACACTGCACTATGGACATTTGGGACTGGATGCTGCTTTGTCGTGGAGGCTGCTCTGCACGGTGCAGGATGTTAACAGCATGTCTGGCCCCTCCCCACAAAATCCTGCTACTGATCCCCCGTCCTGAAACCAAAAATGTCTCCAGACATTGCAGTGTGTTCCTTGGGGAACAAAACTGACTCCAACTGAGAAGCCCTGCCTTGGTATATATACCAAAATTCTTACTCATGTTTTTCATGAGCATAATTTAGAATAAAGCAATGTACTATTCGTTAGGTAGGCACAAAATCAGCAGAGCGGAAAAGGTGCTAGACAGTAGTTTTGCACAGTTCAGCATAAACAAAAATGTCAGACTACATTCCTTAATCAAGGACTGGATGATCTAGGTAATTGGTACAGAAGAGCCCACTAGGAACACTTTAGTGAATGCCATACGGGGCAATAAAATTAGTTAATAGCTGCTGATGTAATTTATGGCCCATTCCTTCTTTAATCATTATTTTAAAATGTAAGGCCGGAAGGAAAAAAAAATGTAAAGCCACAGCATCTGCACATATTAAAGGACACATGAAGGCCTTTTTATTTTGTGGTACTCCCAAGCCACAGCAGTTTTTCACGACATACTGGAATAAAAACATGCTTCACTTTCTTGTCACTTTGTCCACAACAGGGGATGCCAGAGCCCTGCTGGGGACATCTGACTTCCTTTCCCAGGGCAAGCCAGTGCCCGTGTGTGCTTCACCTGACACATAAGCCAGGGGAGGCAGAGGAACGTAGCAGCTCCTTGAGAGACAAGGCAAATATTTCAATAGCACCACAAAAACACAATCACATCTAAAAATGAAAATCCTCCACATCACCTAATACTCCTGTCATTCTTCATATTTTCTCTTGTCTCATTTTATCATTTTTTATAATCTCCTTTGAATCAGGACTCAGGCAAGACGCATGTGCTTTAAGTATTTGATATGTTTCTTAGTGTTTTTAAATTTCCCCTGCTCTCTGTTCCGCCACATAATTTCTTTGTTGAAGAAGGTGGGTGGTTGTTTGCCTCGCAGCCTGGAGCTTGCTGGTTGTGTCCTCCCATAATGTCGCCTACTGAAGTGTCACTTCTGTCCCTCTGCCTCCTGTGTTTCCTGTAAACAGGGAGCTGCAGGTAAAGGCTTGATCAGATCCAGATTCAGTTTCCTTTTCGGCAAGTCCGAAAAGCAGGTGCTAGCCAATGGCAGCCTGGCTGCGTCTTGCAGATGAGTTGGTTACAGTGTGCCCAGCGCTGTGCTCACGCCCTAAAGGCACTGCACTGTTTCATCTCAGGTAAGCCTCACTGAACTGGTCCATCTCCTGAGTGATGACTAGGTCTTTCATTAGGGGAAGAGTGATCTCCAGCGTATTCCAGACACCTTGGTACCTACCCCACTGGCATTATGTGGTTTCATTTGGAGTTGTGTCTGAATTTCTTTTAGTGAATTCATTTAGAGCTATATAAAAATATTTTACATTAAAAGCATTTTTAATTAAAAGCTAACATTTAAAATATTTTAATTAAAAATTTCAATTAAAATTAATTTTAAAATATTGATAATAGAACTCAGAGACCTGTCATTTAGCTGTGAATTCATTGTACTCAAGCTTTTTGGTAGGGGATTTACCATCTGTTCACCTCACAAAGACGGATAGCTAAATGCAAACAGGGCCAACGGAATTCAGTGTTTCCTGAGCCTCTCTTTCCTGTGCACTCATTGTCTTCTGCAGGTGCATTTAAGTCTCTTTCATCTCTCTCGCTGCCTTCCTTGCATGCTCACAGGGCTCACAATATCCCACTGTTTCCCAGTGTGAGAAACTGGCTCGTGATTATACAAGCAAAACTAGCTTCTCATTGTCTGTTTACATATCTTTAATTTATTCTGCGCAATTCTCTCCCTGGTTCCCAGTTCTACCGTTTGCAAAGTCACATTGGAGCTCCAGACCCCAAAAATAAATGCCAAATTATGTCGACCGACTTCACTTTTGAAGTCCAAACTGTTTGATACGTGGTTGGTGGAGAAAAGGCACCAGCGGACCCAGGTTGCAGTCAGCTACCAGAGGCTCAGAGCAAAACAATGCAGAAAGGCTGCTATTGTGGGGTCTGACCAGTTGACATGCAAGGAGTCGTTTGTTCCGGATGCCTCTTAACCCTTCCTCTCCAGTCGTTTCTCCTTTAATACTTGCAACGTTCTCTTCAGTTTCTAGAACATCCATCAGGTCGAGCATTTGGTTGGTTGAATGGAAGGGACAGAAAGCCCTTTTGAACACCACGAGGAAATGGGAGTGACTGAAAAGTTTAATTTTTCATTCTGATCATCACTGTGAGACATTAGATAAATAATCAGATTCTTGGTTCTTATTTCTTTTGAAAATGAAATCATTCTTTATTAGCATGATTATCCATAAGACCTTTGAGATTCATATCCGCAACTGTCATTTGTAAGCTGGGAAACAGGATTGCATCTCTGTTCACCTGATCGCAGGCGCACAGGGTGGCAGGGGAGTACATGCTGGTGCTTATTAATAAGTAGCTCTTGCTGATGCTGGTATTTGCAAGCTTATGTATTTTAAATTGTATTTTGTTCCCTTCCTCTTTGGCAGAACCAAGGAGCTTCCTTTTCTAAGATCGGTGCTGTTTGGCCTCGGTGAAAGTGCACTTTGTTCTAGAATCGCCACGTGAAAGCCTAGAATATATACTGGGTTATTTCAGGAAAGGGGGCAGACTCGTGTTCTAGGACGGTGAATGCTGACTCGGGGCTGAGTGACTGATCCTTGTGTGCTCTCTCACTAACAGGCTCGCTTCTCGTACGTGCGGATGAAATATCTCTTCTTCTCCTGGTTGGCGGTTTTTGTTGGCAGCTGGATTCTGTATGTGCAGTATTCCGCCTACACAGAGCTATGCAGAGGGAAGGACTGTAAGAAAATCATAGTAAGTAGTGTTAATTTCCTGGCTCATTGAAAAGCTTAATAACACATTGTGTTTATTACTTATGTCCTTGCCCATAGTTATTTTCAAAATAAAAGTTAACTTGATCTTGGAGTTGTGATGAGCGTCTTAACTTTATGAATATAACAAGTTGGGAGTGTTCTCCACTTTGAAAACTCCAGTATTCAGAAATCTAAATATTAACATAAGTAAGTTAGTGTGGGGGCATCCTCATTACAAAGAGGGATTTTTGTTTTTTGAATATTTATACATCTGAGGTTTAGTTTATTCTAATAAGGAGGGTTTTTCAATGTGTAGAGTGTGAAAGTGTTATTTATGGGAAGTATTTCTGGAGCACATCTTTTGGTTAAGTAAAGTCATTCTCAATACCAAAATTTGCCTAAAAACCATATAAATATATCTATTTAATTCTATACTAATGATTAGATACATCTTAGGAAAATCACTATCAGTCTGTGATTGCTAGTAGTCACTGTTGGCTCTATAGCACTTATTTTTTAAATGTTTGAGGATTTTGGAGCTGGCTTTGTGGTATAGCAGGTAAAACCACTGCTTGTGCTGCCAGCATCTTGTATGGATGCTGGTTCGAGTCCTGACTGCTCCACTTCCTATCCAGCTCCCTGCTAATGGTCTAGAAAAAGCAGTGGAGGATGGCCCAAATGCTTGGGCCCCTGCCACCTACATGGGAGACCTCCAGGAGGCTCCTGGCTCCTGGCTTTGGCCGATCCCAGCCCTGATCATTGCAGCCTTTTAGGGAGTGAACCAGAGGATGGATGATCTCTCTCTCTCTCTCTCTATTCCTCTCTCTATATATAAACTCTGCCTTTCAAATAGTAAATCTTAAAAAATGAAAACAAAAAAACAAAAAACAAGATGCTGGTTAAGACAACCGCACCCCACATCAGAGCACCCGGGTTCATTTCCTGGTTCCTACCTCCGACTCTGGCATTGCTGCTAATGCAGATCTTGGAAGACAGCAGTGAAGCTCAAGTATTTGGGTTTCTGCTGCCCACATGGGAGACCCAGGTTGAGTTCCTTTGGCTACTGACTTTGGTCCCCTGGCCATTATAGGCATTTGAGAAGTAAACAAGTGGATGAGAATGAGTTCTAGCTCACTCTTTTTCTCTGCTTCTCAAATAAAACAAAAAAATTTTTAGGACTAAGGTCAGTATTATAAAGCTAAAATAGTAGTAATATTACATAGGAGCCATGGGGTTAGTACTAAAAAGGAAGCAGAAAAAAATTTTTAAGTATATATATGTAGGGGGCCGGGGTTGTGATACAGCAGGCTAAGCTGCCACTTAGGTTGCTGGTATCCCATATCTAAGTCCAGCTGCTCTGCTTCTGATTCAGCTCCCTGGTAGTATACCTGGGAAAGCAGTAGAAGATGACCCAAGTGCTTGGGACTCTGCCACCCACATGGGAGACCAAGATGGAATTCTGGGCTCCCGACTTAGGCCTGGACCAGCTATGGCTGCTGTGGCCATTGAGAAGTGAACCAGGATGGAAGACACCCATGTCTGTCTCTCCTTCTCTATTTCTCTGTCTCCCCCTCCCACTCCCTTCCTCCCTCTAACTCTCCCCCTCCCTCCCTCTCCCCTTCTTCCCCTTTCAAATAAATAGATAGATTTTTTAAAAAGTATATTTAAAAGCTTCCAAAAGGTAACAAGATAATGCAGGATTGCTTGATTGTGATCTGGGAAAGGATAGGATTTGAAAGAGGTGAGTCTGGTGTTTGTGTCTGCTTGTCCTGGAGACGTTTGCCCTGAAATCCAGTCTTACGGGGCTGGGAAACAAGACGGTGGTCCAAGTTCAACCAAGCGCAGGGACCTTGGTGTACCATGCTTTGGGCGGACACCAGAAGGGCTGAAGCCGGGAGTGAGGATCAGCTGACTTTCCTGGCCTCTGACCCCGGGGGCATTTTCTGGCATCTGTTACCATAGCGGAATTTGCTGGTTCTGGGCCTGACAGGGGCTTGAGAACAGAACTTTGTATATGCTGGCAGGGAGCCGCTGCTGGGGACAAGAAGCCAGCAGAGGCTGCCTCGAAAACTCGCCTCACCTCCCCCCGCCCATGTCCGCCAGTTGTCCCATTGGGATATTGGCCAGTTCCTGGGGCTCTGCAGAAACGAAGGCGAAAACCCTCCCTGCAAAGCCTTTGAGAAGCAGAACAGACGTTTTGGCAGCCTCACGCGATACAGATGAGAGTTACGAACCCGCCAGAGGGATAAGCCCCAGTGAATGCCACGCTGTCTGTTGAAAACATCAAAGGACTCTGCCCTTGGACTAGGGATGAGCTGAAGTTGGAGTGAGTTCTACCAGAGCTGCCACTCAGCCTCAGCACAGCAGAGCCACTGACTGGGTGAAGGTGGTCGGCGACTGTGACACCTGCCTGCTGGAGGAAAGGGAAACCCAGCCTTAAAGGCGCTATGTGAAAAAATCCCAGGGGTGCCAGAAGACCAGACAACATGACCAAAACCTAAGAGATCAGCACAGACACTAGAAGCAGATCCACAGATGATCTGGATTTTGGCATCCTCTAAAAAAGGTTTTAAAATAACGTATGTTTCTGTTCATGTTCAATTAAGTAGGGGAAATGGGAGAATAATTATATAAAACAATGGATAATTTCAATACAGAATTGCAACATATAAAAATTAATCTGGAGGCCGGCGCTGTGGCTCACTTGGCTAATCCTCCATCTGTGGTGCCAGCACCCCGGGTTCTAGTCCCATATAGGCACCAGGTACTAGTCCTGGTTGCTCCTCTTCCAGTCTAGCTCTCTGCTGTGACCTGGGAGGGCAGCGGAGGATGGCCCAAGTGCTTGGGTCCCTGCACCAGCATGGGAGACCGGGAGGAAGCTCCTGGCTTCAGATCAGCGCAGCGCAACGGCCGTAGCGGCCGTTAGGGGAGTGAACCAATGGAAGGAAGACCTTTCTCTCTGTCTCTCTCTCACTGTCTGTAACTCTCTCTCTGTCACTCTCTCTCACTGTCTAACTCTGCCTGGCAAAAAAAAAGAATCTGGAAGATAGTATGGAATCTCTCTAAAATTTAAACATTGAAATGCCATATGATCCAACAATTTCACTTTCAGATATATACCAAGAGTCGAAAGCAGGGGGCCAGCATTTTGGTGTAGCAGGTTAATCTGCCGCTGGCATCCCATACGGGTGCTGATTCTCTCTGCTGCTGATCCAGCTCCCTTCTAATGCACTTGGGAAGGCAGCAGAAGATGGCTTAAGTGGTTGGCCCCCTGCACCAATGTGGGAGACCTGGAAGAAGCTCTGGGCTCCTGACTTCAGCTTGGCCGAGCCCAGCCATTGCTGGCCATTTAGGGAGTGAACCAAAAGATGGAAGATCTCTCCACCCCCCCCCTCTCTGTAACTCTGATTTTCAAATAAATAGAAAACTATTTATTTATTTATTTATTTATTTTTGACAGGCAGAGTGGACAGTGAGAGAGAGAGACAGAGAGAAAGGTCTTCATTTGCCGTTGGTTCACCCTCCAGTGGCCCGGCGCACCGTGCTGATCCGAAGGCAGGAGCCAGGTGCTTCTCCTGGTCTCCCATGGGGTGCAGGGCCCAAGGACTTGGGCCATCCTCCACTGCACTCCCTGGCCACAGCAGAGAGCTGTCCTGGAAGAGGGGCAACCAGAACAGAATCCTGCACCCTGACGGGGACTAGAACCTGTTGTGCCAGCGCCGCAGGCAGAGGATTAGCCTATTGAGTTGCGGCGCCGGCCAGAAAATTCTTTAAAAAAAAAAAAAAGAATTAGGCCAGCGCTGTGGCTCACTAGGTTAATCCTCCGCCTTGTGGCGCCAGTACACCCGGTTCTAGTTCCGATCGGGGTGCAGGATTCTGTCCCGGTTGCCCCTCTTCCAGGCCAGCCCTCTGCTGTGGCCAGGGAGTGCAGTGGAGGATGGCCCAGGTGCTTGGGCCCTGCACCCCATGGGAGACCAGGAAAAGCACCTGGCTCCTGGCTCCTGCCATCGGATCAGCGCGGTGCGCCGACCGCAGCGCGCCGGCCGCGGCGGCCATTGGAGGGTGAACCAACGGCAAAGGAAGACCTTTCTCTCTGTCTCTCTCTCTCACTGTCCACTCTGCCTGTCAAAAAAAAAAAAAGAAAAAAGAAAAAAAAGAAATGGTATTTTCTATGTATTTTCGAGTGTGTTTGTGTTAATATACTATATAGCCTTCTATTTTATTTATTTGGTAAAGAGAGAAAGACAGATGTGAACAAAGAAAAGACTCCCATCTACTAGTTCACTTCCCAAATGCCCGAAATTCCAGGGGAAGGCCAAGGCCAAAGCCTGGAGCCAGGAACTCAATCTGGGTCTCCCACGTGAGTGGCAAGAACTCAGTTACTTGAACCAGCACCTCTCTTCCCAGGATCTGCATTAGCAGGAAGCTGGAGTCAGAAGCTGGAGTACGAAATCAAACCCAGGCACGAGGGCATCTGAATGGTTTCTTAATCACCAGATTAAACACCTTCTGCACACCTCTTTTTTAAAATCGGAATCAGTCTTTACTTGGCTTGAGAAGTAATATATTTTAGATTTGTTTCTCTCTTGTTCCAATTTTGCAATATCTGCATAAGTAATTGCCTGGCCTTTTCATAAAGTATGATAATAAAGCCACACATAATTCTGGTCCTGGCCACTCTTGTTTTGAGATATGAAGTCTAAACCAGTGGTCTCTCTCCCTCTCTTTCAATTACTGCATAGATAATTCTTTTATTTAAATAGACTGGATGGAACCACAGCATATACGATTGGTCGTTTTAAAATTTGGGCATAAATATAAAACCGCAGTATGTCACAACCACATTTAGCAAAAGCATGCTTGGCACAGGATTACAGTGTCCTGTGCATAAGCTTAGGATGGATTTCCATCCAATCCTCAGTCCATTTCATCTTTGTGAATAAAGAAGATTATAAAGAGACACAGAAGATCCAAAAGAGGGTCTATAAATATTTGCTGAAG